AAATGATCAACTGGTGGTAAATTTTCAAACCCACTGTTAATCTTCCGGAGAAGGCTTTTTGGTCCAGGACTGAGACGAGGAAGAAGAAAGCCATTTAACCTCGCAGCGGCGGTTCCGGACACATTTCTCCCAATCTTTCGCAATTAAACGTCCGTTTCCTCGAGGTATGTTTCTTTATCCGCATCTAGTGAATCCGCATATGATGCAGGCAATGTGTAGGTTTCTGTGTGTGGTACGGTAAAGGCAAACCCTTGCAATTGGTCTGCAGAGGAGCGGGAGCTGTTGGTAAACTGAGAAAGGGCGAAGCGATGAAAAGGTAATACTAGGAGGTGAAGAACCTGTTGTATTCAACTACATGGATAGAAGGACAAATCAGGGAGGTTTGCAAGGACATTAGCGCAGATGGCAAAATCAAACGGGAAGAATGGAACGTGTCCTCTAGCTCTTGAGCTGGCGGGACCGCGCGTGTCCGTGCTATGAGCTAATCGACTACATTTTATATCGGGACAAATAAGCAGCCCCTTCTTTCGTATGTGCGGCTGAGAGAGAGGAGGAAGTTAGGTTGCGTGGTGACTAATGGCAAAAAATAAGGTTTCCAATGGGTTCCGCTTAGACAATGTCGCTCAAGTCTCCTCTCATAAACCAACCTTCTCTCCTACCAATCCCCCGAGACACTTCATCACCGTTGACACTTCCAGTTATCAAAATACTCAGTGATCTATTTTAGCAGCGAATCCAGCGAATCGAGCTGACAGATAGGTAGAGCTATATCCTGGACTCTCTTTCGATGTCGATATAGAATTAGCTGTACCATTAGATACTCTCGAGTTGATTCTGAGCACGGCCGATCTTAATGTCCTTTAGTATATTGATGCCCTCTCTCCTTGTGCCATCCATAATATCCATCGGCCGACCTCTCATGGGAGTGCTTTATCTCTCTGGTTGTTTCTTTTCCCCGGAACAGGCCCACGCGATCGGGGTGCTATCAACTAGTTAGTATTACGATAGCAGCTTTTTGATGAATAGGGCGACGTACGAAGAGGCTAAAATGTCAATGAGAGCGCTAGGCCGCAACGTGAGCGGAGCTAAAGAAGCGGTGCAAGGAAACGACGGCAAAGCTTTGGGGGACATATATCGTGGTGGTGTTCGATGGTAGTTAGGTTTGCGGCGCAGCGAGCGGGAGTTACTGGTGAACATTCTGGGTTTTTTTTTATGGTGCACTGTAGTGCGGGAGACATTCTGTTGGTTGGTTGGCCCCGTTGACACAACCAAGTAACCCTAACCCGTAGAAAGATCATGAACGCTCACTCGTCTATCTTGGCATTTGTGCTAACATACACCTGCTATATTTTCATAGACTCCGCAGCTAGATATATATTACAGGTTCGGTAATACTCCGAAACCTTTGGGTGCTCTTACATCCGGGTAAACATCTGAAAAGTTTTCTAGATCTCGATCCGGAAGTGAGCACTCGATAGGGATTCAGGTATATTTGAACCAGTGCACAAGTTATCAACGAGATCCGTCGGATGAGAGGAAGCACAAACTAAGTTTTTTTTCTGGGGATCGTGGTTGGCGGAAGGTGTAATCATCACTAAGGCACCAATTTAAAAGCTCCACTTACGAGGGCGACTCCTCCGAGCCACCCCCTTCACCCAGCGGTTGGCGCAAAACGCAGAGCCCGCCACTCCGTATACCCGACAGCACAAGCAGCACCTTATCGTATCAGCCGACTACCCATTACCGTTCTTCCCTTGTCCAGCTCCCATTTGCCGCGCCAAGCCTTTACGAGCTGACTCATGAAACGTCACTCGGGTGTGCGGAGCTAAGGGTTTGGGTTGTATTGCCTGATTGTTTCCAATCTATACACAAAGCAACACCGGGTTTGAACTTTTTCGATCGGCCTCTGCATCCCAGTGCATGTTGGCTGGTGCTGACAGATTACTCACACGGCAATACACTACCACTTAGCAGCCCCAGTTCAAATGGGGTCGGTAATAATCGATCCGGGAAGATGTTCAGCGATATTCTCCAGTCCACATCATAAAGGTAATCGACCTATGCAGGGATGTTGACGAGGGAAGTCATGAAAGTAACCATTTTCGTCTAGTGAGTGGAGCGAGGCTAGGTGAGGGGTTAGTCCTAGCGAGTCTGACGATGGTTTATAAACTACTACACGCAGCAAAAGAAGTAGTCAGGACCGGGTATATGACATAAACGCTCAAGAAAGGGTAGTCATCATCACAAAGCTGACAGGGAAAGGGGGCCACTGCTGGAAAGGCTTATCGGATAAAATGACCGCGCCTAGATAGCGCCGAGACTACGATTCGCAGGAGGGAGGTATTCCCGGGCGCGGGGGATAGGGGCGGAGGAGAGGGAGAGGTGCTGAAGGTGAAGAGAGTCGTTCAGAGTATTTGGTTGAAATGAAGAACGGAAAAAAACGACTCACCACCCTGGTCCTGTCCACGAGTAGAGTATACGTAGGAACTGGGATTGTGTTGGATCATATGTGGTCACTCGAGGAATTCTTGGCGTGTGCGGGGCTAAGGGTTGGGGTTGGGGTGCATCTCAGCTGAACGTACCGGGATTGAGGGTAAGTACTGAGAACCCCCTTTTGGGGAATTTTTAAAAAAATGAGGGTCTGAAAAAAGCTCTGATTGGGCTGATATGAATTAAAGTGACACTTGGCAGCCAAGCAAGTATTTGGGTAGCTTCTTGCCAGCAACCTCCATCACCTCAATTTGACTCTTATTTATCTCCAATTTCATCAAATAACAACCCCCAACAGAGTCTGGAAGCTCAAAATGCTATCCAGATGAAGCGGTAGGCAAGGGCGATACTACTGGTCTTTTGTTTGTATTTTTAACAATTTAATTCGATTTTTTAAGTGCAAATATATCAGAACGTCTCGGTATTTTTTTCCCACATAAGTCTAAGTAAAAATGGTACTGCATCATTGGTTGCTATGTTGCTACCCCATGGCGTTGTTACAAAGTCAACCAATGAAAAAAACGGACATGGGGGTGTCTTCGTACTTTACGTGCACACCCACACCCGGTACACATCCATCCTCCTCCCCCACCATATGATCAGTCTTTAAGGAACGAGCATCATCATCGCGCTGCTCGCAGTACGCTTCTACACATCCTAATTATTCATCTTCCGCCCTTTATAACTTAACTTGTTTTGTTCCAATCGACCCCAGCATTATCCCCAGCTTTCTGCAGGAATTTTACATGCTGATAACTAACTAGTAAGCTTAGTACTATAAGAGGGACCTTTTCGATAGAAACATCATTTCCTTCTTTATTTCAAAGCTCACGTTTGGCGATCGATATGTCGACTCGATTTACGCAACTTTACTCTCGCCCCGACACCCCCGCGCTCTCTCAAAGAGTCGTACACAAAGCGGGATACAGGCCGTCACCATGAAAGTATCTCAACTGGGGAATTATAGCCCCAGTTGACTGCTCGAGGAATTCTTTAAGATGCGAGGCTCTCGGTTGAGCTCAGCGTAGGCCTTTTGCATCTCGAGATTGATACAGCTGCGTACGATATCCGTGACAGATAAAAATCCTTGGATGAGTGCTCCGGGGGCTATACGATAATTGAAAAGGTTCTAAGGAGACCTTATTCACTCCTTTGGATGCACCTAAAGATGAAGGGATGGCATGCTTCATATCGGAGCAAACGTTTTTCACGGCGTAATGGACTTATATGATCGACCTATCCTTTAACATGGGAAAATGCGCATGGGGATCTTCTTTAGTCATGAGGCGCTTATGACTCGGGCACCACATACCCACCTGAGCCTGCAATGTGTGCATATATGCAGTGGGGTGGAACCAATAACTGAACTTTACCACCACTCACATCTATTCTAATTTGCAAGGCAGAACCATCACTCCAATGGAGACCGCGAGGCGGATATGCCGAGCCTAGGAACAGTCCGTACAGTACCTATCAAGAGGTTGAGATTTTGGTTGCTCCGCCAATCGATCAGCTCGATCGATCGGATCTACTAACACCGTTAGTTACCTTAGTCAGCTAGTTTCGGTACTGTGGCCCGGGTTCTTCAAAATGGGTCAGAATGAAGGTCGAGAGGAGGATGATGATTCTATTCAAGTGATCGCCTATTTTATCACTATATATACTGATGTCCTTCTGCCATGTTGTTCTCTGTCACGTTCGATAGTTACATGCAGGTGCAATAACAATGCCCCACAAAGCTATTTATGAAATAAACACGGTAGCTAAAACCACTGAAAAAAAGAAAAAAAATAGTACACATGCTAAATCCCATCAAATTCGGAGCCAGCTACACATGTGGCCAGTAATCTGTCCATTGGGGTGTCTGCCAGGTTTCATGAGAAGCTTCTCGCAGACTCAAATAGGACTCCACGGTGATATAAGAAACAGAAAAGAAATAAAAAGCAGTAATACAAAAGGCCAGCCAGATTACACACTGATGGAAAGCATAGCTTCTAGTCCTGCTTTTTTCGTTTTCACCCGCCTTCTTAACCGCTATATAGCCGCTGGCATGTTTTCGGCAAACCGCGTCAAGCTCTTTAAAGATATACCCGAGGATTTTAGTAAATCCGGGTGAAGTCGTATGAAACCTCCACAATACTTCGATAAGATCCTTTTCATATGCCGTGAAGTTGCAAATAAGGAACATACCTAAGCTGCAAGCACACATTGCCAACGCAGATGTGCGCCACAGCACTTGTTCGATTTTGGTGGGGAATTCATTATTCCAAACGGCTGCATGCAGCGCGCCTGTCAGACATACAAAAAGAACTTCCATAAGTAGTAGCAGAGTACGCCGACTCGGAACCTTGGCCGCATTGTAGAACCATCCTTCTGATCATGGTGTTCACTCATATGAAGTTGAATAATGATATAGCTTTGTGATGGAATGCGATGTAGGTTCGTGGCGATTGTAAAGTGATGAAGTTGGGTTCTTCTTTTCTGTATTCGCGGCTTTCATCGGCATGACACTATAGTAGGGTTTTCGTTTTGTTGCCATCTACTAGCACCCCTTGGTTCCCTTGAAGAGGTTCCAATGCGAACTCGTCTAGATCCTTCGGATACAAGGCATAATGTTCTGTATCCCTTGAATGTGCTTGGCCGATCTCGGCCGAGCTCTCGTTCCGCTCGGGGACAGCGGGGATAGACGAGATTTTGGAGACAACTATTACTGTTGACGTCTGGCCATGGTCGATCTTGGTCGGGTTATGGCCATGATCAGTTGTAGAGGAAGTAGCTGAAGGAAGAGTCACTACAAGTAGAGTGAATTAGTATGGACTTGTGGGCATATTTACGTCATCCGTGTATTAGCACTGCATAAATTGAGATTATGTATAGGCAAATTCTCTGCGGGCTCATTAGCGGAATGGAAATAGCAACGTACCATTCGGTGGTCTGTTGCCAGATAACCTTCCCCCGTTGTCATCTTTCCCAAGTCGAATTCTGATCGGTTCACGGGCGTCTAAAGGTTTGTTCCACCAGAAGGCGTAGATCAATAGGGTTCGTACAACATGAATCAAGACATGTATTTCCAGGAGGGTGAGAGGCAATTCCGCCCTCCAACGTGAAATCGAAGCCACCACTAACCAGAGGGCCTGGCCGCCAGCCAAGAGCTTTCCGATGGTGCTTGCTTTCCCTTTATCAGTGATAGCAGCCTTGTCAAAACTACCCTCATGAATGAGTCCCTTTTCCATGTACTTGATGAATCCCGTTGGCGTTACAATAGCTCTAAATGGGCGAGGTGCCTGTGGGGTAGGATTGGGATCTGCCTTCGTCAAAAATCTTAAAGAGCGTTTGACCTTTCCCCTTAGTTTCCAGAGTTCTGCTAGCTCGGCGTCTCTCTTCTCCATCCATTTAACGCCAGTTGGAGGGATCGCTTCATCTGCAACGAAACCGCCCATCACAACAAAGAACGCCACCTGCATGTTCATTTGTTTTCTGGCAGCATAACCAGTATCCCCCGGCCAGTTTCGTTCATTCCAGGCTTTTTTTATTTTCTTTGCAGCCCGGTATTCGCCTATAGCGCATATGAGTATGCCTTCGGGTACCATGATGGAGAACATCATCATGACCGCCCTGTAGTACACGCGCTGGCTGGTAGTGGAGCCGGGAACGATGTCTGGGTGAACGGCTGTCCAGATACAGAAGACAAAGGTGGCGGTACAGCTTACGATAAACACTGTAAGAATTTATTACCAAAGAACTGTTAGTAGAAACACAATGATACGTTGGTGGGTGGTTGAATACCGACATTTCTGGAAGCAAGCTGCTCTAATTTCCTTGATTCCTGGCCTAGATTGTGCGCGGCGTGAAAGTGCAGAATTAAAGATCGAGACTTGGAATCACTGGATACTAGCTGCTCTTTTGTTATGACTTTACACTGGGTGTACCACTAGAGCTTGCATGGGCGAGCTAGGAGTTCATGATGGGAACCATACGTACATGTAGTGACGACATATACTTTTAATTACATAAGCTTTATGTGGTATCTTGCAATTGACGTTGATCCTAGGCACATGTGCATCTTTATAATTACAAGACAGCCTTTCAATTTGTCTCCGCTCATTTTTCTCCGTTTCTGCTGCTACCCAACTCCATAAATGAAGATCACTCCCGGGAGCTCTATTAGTTGTAGCCGAAGGTGAGGCTTATTCTTTATATATTGTATTTTATCGTTCGGAGGATATTTTAGTACGGATATGTATATGAAACCTTTGTATAGAGAATATTTATATATGTAGTAGGCTCAAAACTCCGGGGGTAGCGAACCCAACCGGATTGGAAATTCGTACTCTTGCTTACCAAGGCGATTGAAACTTACTCCCTAGGCCGGTGAAATTAAGGTCTTTTCAATTTTTCTCATTTTTTCACTCCTCTGTCCCTGTTAAATGCAGCTACCAAACCCCCGAGACACCAACACCTATCACAGTTTGGAGATTTCCACAGCTATATACCGCAATTGCGCATGATCTTACAAGACCACCCCGCACCGTCAACAATTACCCTCGATCGAACTAGATTATCCTGCTACTATAATGAGCGGAGTCCCAGTCAAGTCTGAAGCATTATTTAGAAAGATCGTATAACTATGGTTTTATCATATACCCAATCAATTCCTTCTTCATAGCTGGCCAACGCGCCTAGCTACTGACACGCTCAATTAATGCAGGTAAGGTTGGACTGCCTACCATATGATCAGAAACACCCCCCTCCTCGATCTTTCCTATCACAAATCTACCTAAACTGCCACCAGAAGCGAATCGAGTGGTAGTGGCCTTAGTGAGTTTAGGACACACCCCGCAGCTGACCAGAATAATACGTGACCTATTTTATTGAGTATTGAATCCCCGGAAGGTCGTTGCAAGTTGCAAGACTCTGCGCAGATTTGAAAGAATGAAAACGGGAGATGTGCCCCACTCTAAACCTCTATTATATACCAGCATCAGGGTCATAGCTAAAGCAACTTGGAGAATGTTTCTAAAAAGTACCATCCTCTCTAAACGAGGGATAGAATCACTTGTAGAGTATGGATCCGAAGGCCAGCTCACACTAGTGGCAAATGTGAATTTCCATGCTTCCTCGAGTAGATAATAAATGGTTCCAAGCGATTATAAGCAAACCGGACCCTGCATCAGCATGGATGATCAAGATTACCAATCTAATATAGAGTTATATCTACAACGAGAGGTAGAATTATTGTAGAAACAGGGGTCTAAGAACAGTGTTTGTATGGTTGGTTAAGCCAATAGGACTCCTCTCATATTTCTACAATGATATTACCACACGCTGTAGAGTAGGCATACAGCCGTTCGCGAGCTTTGGCAAACCTTGGGAGTTAAGGCCAAGATTCTTGGATTCGGCGATTTTGCAGGTTGACCGGCTACTACCATAGATGACATCCCTGTCCACGAATCGAAACCCAGTGAAAGGCTCAGGCAGAGAGAGCGCTCATATATAACATAGCGATTCTACATCCACGTAGTCTAGTGGGGTATTTAAAAGTGTGCACTTGCACTTACAGTCGCACCTCGTTATGTCGTTAGCGTATTCTGGGAGCCAAACCCCTACGAGATAGCAAGTATACGAGACAGCAAATAGTTTTTGGTGGAGAAGGGCAGTACCTATCCCACAAATCCGTACGAGACAGCAAGAGATCCGAGATATCGAATTACGACATAGCGAGGTGCGACTGTATTATATAGCGGACCACTCCTAAGTACATACATGGATCCACCTCAACATCAAGGTCGATAGGCGATATGCGGAGAATGAGCCATTCTAAGTCACTCGTGCATCCGCCGAGCCGCCCGGGAGTTGTTCCGTGTATGTAGGAGAAAGTGACCTGCATGCAATAGGTGTATGATTGGAGGGATAAGCGGTCCACGCCGGCGCCTCTTACCTATGAAGACTGTACATGTAAGAATGGTACTTTTCATGACAACTTTTGGCTTGAGAGGCCATCGGATGTGGCAGTCATGGAGTCGAATTAAAGACGAGGCTATTCAATATTGGCTTAATCCAAGCTAATGGAAGCGCCATCGTCTAAGAACACTAAGGTCCGGATCCCCTCATGCACGCCAAGACCTTTGGCCATTAACTGAGCCAATTGCAAACATGAGAGGGTGCATGGGCAGACCAAAGATCAGCAATCGTGGATTTAAATTTTCGGAAAAGACCCTAGATATGTGGACTGTTGGCGTCTTTAAAATTTACAGTTGCTCTATAGCTATAGTATTGGCGCGGATCTGTTGGGATCCGGAATCAAGTGCATGTAGTTAAAGGCTAAACTACATGTAGCTATAGCTACATCTACATGTACTCGGGGCAGGTAAAAAGTACCGGACAATGCAAGTTTTGTCTCTGGGGTTTTTTGCAGTAGCTCACGCCTAGCACGCGCACCCATTGGTGAACCAAAAACCTGCATTGTCCGGTACTTTTTACCTGCCCCGAGTATCTATATAGGTGGCCCGTGGAAATTTCAATTTGACCGATGATGTCTCCATCATCACCGGGATCGGATCCAGGTTGTATTTTATGGGACTTGGGGAAGCTTATGCCCCCAGCTCCGCCACACTGCCTAGGGTTATCCGGTGGAGTATGTTACAAAGAATATACACACTGGCCTAAACCTGGACAAATATTGAATTTGGTGCTGTTAGCTTTGCATACGTGACATTAGTATCTTTTGGTAAATGATACCACTGAGCACGTCCCAACATTAAGTTAAAGCTCCAAGTCTCAAACTAATGATGTATATTCTATACGTCTTACCTCATGATGAGTTCCATGTCGTGATGGACACGATATCAGGACCGACTGAATACCGGGGCTTGATGAGACCAAATTCTCACTAGAAAAGACCCAGTGTCTGTAGAACCAGATATCTGGAGACCAATGTTCAAAATCCCTCAATGTAAACCCAGGACTCGGGTACACGCAGATATTTCCTGAATGTAATCGAATAAAAACATCCAAAGGGAGTTTCCAGGAATGATAGGACGGTAAGAGAAAGCTTCGATGACCTTAATGTGTAAAGATATTCAAATCAAATACTAATAATTAATGCATACAAGACTCAGGCGGATAGGAGCTACTCTAGACTCAAGTAAAAAGGAATAGACGTAATCGGACTTGATGGATATCTTGAACTACATGTAGTACTAGTAATCCCGCGGCCAGGACATCGAGACTTTGTAAATACTTGACAATATTTCGGGAGTCGGGACTTCATGATACCTAAGTACCTGTGACCGGAAAGGACAGAATGAGACCAGGTCCACATCATGCTCGTCTCGCCTCATACTCCGCAGGAAGAACAAGCAGCTGCAACTTGACCTGCCTAGCCTCACTATTTAGCCTGCCTAAGTCTTGCCCCACGACATTAGTAAAGCATTACCTCAGATCTCCGTACTTTTTAAAAAACCACCCTTTCGGACATTGACACACTTCGCTTGATCGACAGATGCAGGGTGCTTAGTCGCGTGAGTATCTGGAAAACCTAACCCTGTGACACAACAAAACATCGGAGAAAGTCTTAAAGGAGAGGACTTGAAGGCCTCATTAATAGAGGAGACTATTAGTTTTAGGCTAAGTCTCGTTCCGTCCTATCTCGTCTCATAACACTCTTGAAAGACTCGAGACCGTACCTGAGGTAAGCCTTGAGACTCTCGATATTCATATACGCTTACTCAATCCGGATTTTGGTAAGAACCTGGACATAACATCAGGTCTTCTTGGCGAACAATCATTGACTGAATTCAAGGCGAACGTTTACATTGATTTCTACCCAATTAGAGGAGGTCTGGTCATAACGGGGCCTTATTTTTGATAGTTTAGCACCAATCGGAGTCTCCTGCCCATCATTACGCCCATCTTATGCACGGCCTAGTGATATTAAATCTATAATTTATGAACTATACTATGACAATAGGAAGTTATATAAACACAGACTACTCTCAAGAGTTTTCATTAAATACATGTACTTAGACAATGTAGGAAAATGTGAGTTTAAGCTTTCCTTATGCCGAACTGCGGTGTTCTAGACCGTGTTACCTGTGCTGGCTCAGCCTGAACTGACTTCCACTAATTTAAACGGGGTTAGGTTATAATACTCCTTTTAAATGTTTTACTCGCCTAAGTTCCAGTTAACTGTCGGTATCACAGTACCGCAGTAATTCGTCTCAACGGACGCTCACATTGACGTTGAAATTCCTTGATCTGGTCATTTGTCTTGAAAACGCCCCCCTAATCTTCCCTCATACGCGCTGTAAAAGGCAACCTTGACGTCTGTGTAACCGTCCGCTGAGACGAATTACTGCGGTAGTAGACTGTCTCCGATCTACGGATTAGTATACTAGACTATGGACTAGAGATAATTACATACTATTTCAAAATCTTCATGAATTATCAATTCATCAACCATATCAAAACCTTCGCGCCATATCCAATACATGGGGATGTCAATATTTCAAGGAAGCCTTGTGATGATTCATAACAGCAGTTGATTGTGTTTTTGGACGCTCTGTGTATTTGTTCTAGATCTTTTCATCGGCCGGGAAAGACGTATCTACGTCTGTTTTTCTTTCTCAGCCCGCATAGTGCCTCCATACGTAATTCCTCATAACCCTCTTTCGAACCCCAGATCAAGAGTAGATTTATATCACAGATGGCACCGCAACAGTAATCCTATATGGCGCGGTATCACAATGACCGCTGTTCAAGGCGCGAATGACTAGTCATAGAATAGCACTCGATGAATCTTAAATATTCTAGCTCATATATGGAGCGAGAGAACGGGAAGACTCGTTGCCGAGGTAGAACTGGATATATAAAGAGAGATAAGAGATCTCTTTCATGTATTCTAAAGAGGGTACATAGGTGGATCCAAATATAGAATTAATCGAACACTAAAAACCCGACTCTAAAGTATCCTAGTATTTTCGCACTCCAATTATTATATACAGATCAACAGCGGGCGTACTATTCAGCGGTAACAGCCCACACGAGTTCGAGATTTAAAAACAACCTTATTTTCTCATAATCCATGAGAGCCAGGAGATGTTGATGTCCCCGGTTGTTGAGAGTACAAGGATGCACATGGCTTTGAGACTGATGCAGGGTTAGGGTTCTGATTTGATAGCCTAACGAAAGATGAATTATTTGTTCCGATCTGCAAGGACCGCAATCCCCTGACCAAAAAGATATACTTATCGTTAGGGATGATATTTTTGTCCAAGAGACGGTATATAGGACTGATACTTCAGAGACAGAGTTCGTTTCGCGGAACTGAGTTTATCTAAAGAATGACGTCTCCGGCCGGGAATCGCTGCACAACTGGACAGCGTCATTACTTTGATTAGTGATATCGAGCCTCACATGTTTGTCCATAACACAGTAAATTCTGACTGCACCAGTGACCAGTCTCTCTATACCTCTGCTCACTACTTCAAAGTGGTTAGATACATATACTCGCCAAAAAATAAAGTCTGTGGATGAACTAAGTACTATTGCAACGCAACCATTAGGTCAGGTGCTTAATTCATCCACAGACTTTATTTTTTTGCGAGTACATGTAACGTTTTTGACCTAGTACCGTGTCAGACCGGGGATCAGGTCATTACCATACAAATTTGGTCGCCTCCAAAATTTAAGTCAAGATTTGGGTGCTGTTGCCAGACGACATGATTCTAGGTCTGACACGGTACTCGGCCAAGAACGTTAGATCTACACTCGGGTTCTCGATACTTACTCCGGGGTTTGTGTACTTACGAGTTTTATTTTACTATATTTTGTTTTGTTGTATTTTCTTTTGTATAAGTGAGAGGTGGAGGAGGCCAGTAGGGTAGTTCTGGGGTAGTGCGATATTGTCATAGCCTAAGGGCTGTATACAATTAATGAATTAAAAAAATACACTTGGTACCCATGGCCACGGCTGCTGCAGAGAGGACATGATCGCCTTCCGCACGCCAAGGATACCTCGCATATGCACCTTGAGGGCCGTCATCAACATCCATCATCCATGTGCCGATCATCAACTCTACCCCGCACTAGTCCAAGCACCCGGCCGCTAGCTAGACACAGAGCTCCACAAAACAAACCCCCATTAAACATCCGCTTTCAAAATGCAAGCGATGCTTTCTCGCTCCCCCCTGGCCGCCTACAGCTTCTCCAACGATGAGGGCGCAAACATTCGCGTCTGTTACCAGGACCATCATGGCACCATCGGCCAGATCTTCTACGACGACGTCCAGGGATGGCATCCAGGCACTCATGGCGTCGTTGGGCGTGCGGACCTCAACACCGGTATTGCCGCCACGGTCTGGGACGGTGGGAAAGAGGTATATATATCTCCCAGTTATCGATTCTTGCTCAGGGGCATAGTCACAGGCAGCTAATCGCCCCCCCCCCTTTCTTTTTTCCAGGAGCGTGTGTACTACATCAGCGGGGGTAAACTTGTAGAGGTATCTACACTCTCTCATTTCAATTCTCTAGCACTGATTCTGACCTTTAATTCCATGCAGCGTTGCCACAGTCAAGGCAGACGTGGCTGGTACGACGGCAAACTCACCGGCATGTTCCCTGTCGCCCACTACTCGCAGCTAGCTGTCACATGCGGTCCGGTCGGCGGCAGCGAAGTCTACCTCAGGGTTTACTACCAAGATTGCGACAACGTTGGTCGCCAACTTTGCAAGGACCGCAGCAGCGAGTGGATAAATGGAGATTTGGTGCTTAGTATGGCCATCCCTGGAACTAGCATCGCGGTTTCGAAACCTCAAAAGATACAGTTGGCCACACCCGCGGGGGTGCTCTTCCAGCTTGACAATACACAACTGACCGAGCAGCAGCCAATCATAGCTGGAAGGACAAAGGAAGGCGTGTAGTTAGCATCCATCCCAAGTACCTGGCTACACATGCGCAAGTTATGCTGATGGGGGTACATCTCAGGCGGTTTCGAATCACAGCTTCTATATAACCCGGGTGCATCTATTGCCTGTGTCTCCTACGGAAACGATAACCGAATGGCGTACACAGTAGATCGGGACAACAAGCTGTGCGTGACGGAGTCTATTACCGGCAGTAATAACTGGGGAGAGACGAAGCAGTTGACTACAGTCATCCCGCAGTCCAGTGTAGCGGCAGTAATAGTCCCAAGGAGCCTACCACAAGTCAGAATCTACACCCAGGTGGCTCCGGGTCAGATTGCAGAGTGGGGTACAGATGATGGAAGGAACTACTCGCTGATGAGAGCACAACTTCCTGGTATGGTGGTGCCAGGGACTGTGCTGCCGGTCGGGATGTATGTACAGGTGAGTTGAGACCACATTACACAGTAGGATACAGATGATAGGGGCCACGCGGGCGCGACCACCGACATTTTATAGATCCAGGACTATGTATGAGAATGGAGCAATTGACAGTATCGTTTTGCAATTTTATTATGTATGATGATTCAAAGAATGGAGATTTCGATTTATGTATTCAGTAATCCCCGCAAAATGACGAAAGGCTTCCGTTGTTATTGCGCCTGATCAGTGGTCACTCTCATGCTCATCTCATCATTAGACTGCGATGTAGTCTCCACTACCATCTGCCATGGGAGACTTCGGTTGATGCGGAGATATAGACTCGAAAAGCCACGTCTCATGGAGTACCTAGGTTCCAATATATAGGCGGTCTGCATAATCCGAGTGACAATCCATGAAGCTCATTGGTCAACGGAGCTAGACAATGATCCTATCCTGCTATGTTGTGAGTATCATTACCTATCAACTGCCCCCAGATTCCGAGCAGTCCACTTACAAGGTACTGTCTAGTCAAAAAGATTGATATGATATAGACCTCCTTGTCCAACGCCAAATCGAGTTCGTGCCGAGTTGCGAACGATTCAGTATAATTCGACATTCGAGCGGCACACTTGGTAATCCCGCGCCTCGCCATGTGGCCAGAGATACTGGCTCTTTCTTAAGCTTCGAGGGTGTCTGTAGCTCGTACGTGATACACCTGTCGTCTTTGGATGACGTTGGTTGGCTGTAGTCAAGACTAGATCAACTTGTGGGTTGCTCAAGAAGTATACGCGCGCGCTCGGAATAGCTCTACGAAATGTAAAGGCCGATTTATTCTAGTTGGATTAGAATATAACACCTTAAACCAAGCCTAAGTATGTACCTCTCCGCATCAACGCTTGCTGATTAAGTCCAGTATTTCGAATCGTTCACAATAACCCTAACCCTGGGCTCGTCTTGTAGTCGTACTCATCTTGGATTTGAGGATTTATTAGACCATTGAAAGCAACTGTGTATAGATACGAATAGATGTGACATTGACACTAAGATTAATGACCAACACTTGTCCTAGGTTTCTCAGCTTCGGTGTCGAGGTTGATGACGATAAGAATGTGATTCAGGTAAGATGACTTTTTCCTGTCATGTCAAGAATTAGGGAAGTCGAGGGGCGGGGCCTATCTCTATATTAACATCTCTATTCCGAGCTTCCCATTGTCTGTATAATTGTAGGCTCTTAATTCATCATACTGCAGGGGCGAACCGCGGACCCGGTCCTACGCCAAGACACACGACGTCTTGGCAAAATCATGAAGCATCACTCGGTCACATGGTTGCGGCGCTAGAGGGAACTTGTACACCCATTCCACGCCCTTACTTGTACCTCCGACTCCGCAGACCACTGTCCGTCTATCTTTCTTCCGTGGAAATCCTCATCCCATACCTTAAAACGATAAGCTATCACACTTTACGTTTTGGTTCTGCCCCTCATATCTCACCCTATATTTCATAAAACCTGTGGCCTCCGGTTCTCGCTTGAGATCGTATATAAGATTGAGACAGCATCACTAGCACGGCGGGATTGACTTCAAATGAGCTAAAGATCTAGCTGGCTCGAGGCATGGACCAAACCATCTTTATGCGTCAGGCGCGTTTCCGAGTGCTTAGAGCGCTCTGGCTATGCTAGTTGCTTTCCAACTAGGTGAAATAACCCAGAAGTAGTACAACGTATTGATGTTACGGAGAACCACTGGTTAGATCACGAGACTCTAGTGGGAATCAAAGTACTATAGTGAACATGAGGTTCATCTGATCATGAATCTAGCCCTAATACTTTAATTCCGCTGAAGACTGCCAAACGAGACCCAAAAACCTTGACTTTCTATCTACTATCCAATCCCAGCAAGCCTTTAATCTATAGCTCAAGGACGGTAATATTCCGAATATGGGTCCTGGAATCATAAGTTATTAACATCTAGCATCATTAAGTTCGGGAATTCCTCACTCACATGGTATAGGTCGATAAGCTTCTGATTCCTCTTCCATTGGAAACTTTCGAGAGGGAAAAAGGGATTACCATTAGGAGAAAATGATGGGTCGTACAGATCCTTAATGATACTACTCTGAGCACCCATGCTCAATAAATCGTTGATTATTCCTTGCCACGGTGATATTTGTGGATTTTGAGAAGCTAGTGTATCCATGCCTCTTCGAAAATCTTCGCTTCTCTATCGATCCCAGTACCTGTTAACGCTGAATCTATTCCCAGTGATCCTCCTTAGATATCACCGTTGAAGGGTTTCTTCGGCGTGGAGCTTATTTGTTTAGGGTTATATGCTCACCGTCGGCCACGATTTGTATGCGGATATGTATAATTGAAACCTCTGCGTACCGTCGTCATCGTCATCCCAATCTGCGTTGGTGATGATGGGCCGATCAACCTCCAATAGATCATCCGTATATCGACCGGGTTTATCCGCGTGGGGGTCAGTCGTAGTTACTCTATCTATCGTTCGCAGTATATGGCCTGCGTAAAACGCTATCTCTAAAACATTCATACCCCAGGTACCTTGAATATGAGGGTTTTCCCCAAGATGCAAGAGTACTAGAACCGTACTTTTGTACCCAGCAAAGGCGGCAGCGTGGAGAGCTGTGCCGTAGATGCCGCCGAGGAGGGTGGCATTTGCCCCTCTCTCGACGAGACACTGAACGATGCTTTCTCGTACTATTTTTCCCTTGCTGCGCTCTGCAAAACTAAGGGCTCTGTGTGCACAAGCTGCCTGTAGAGCGTTCGCAAAAAGACCACCCTGCATATTTACATCGGCACCATGATCTAACAGCAGTTCGACCACTTCGTTGCATTGGTAGTATGAGGCTGTTTCCAGGGTATCTTTCTTGCACTCGTCTAGTGCGTCAACGACGATAAACACGTTATTGAAGGTCTGGATAATGTTGTGAAACTCTCCTTGAAGCTCTTCGAGCCTAGGAATCTGGTCCTTCCTAGAGCATCGTGTATAAAGCGACAAAAGCGAGGGAGGAAGCCTAGTCTTCTAGCCGGAAAGCTGTTTTACAAGAACCGCGAAGAAGTTCTTTATGGTCTGGGCAGCCTCTTTCTGGAAATTGTAATAGAAATAAGCAATGCCGGTTCCTGTGTCCGGGTATCTATCTGTAATATCCTTTACCGCGATAGATCTGTCTGGCATGATCAGATTCAACAGGTGCTATGAAGGGGAGTAAATATTTTTAACTTGCGCAAGAACTGATTTTCCAACACCGGCTAAAGTCTTGTCAGTGAATTTATACAAGTGGAAGTAAAGAGGTGTTACCAGTTCCGTGACACCAAAGTAGGCAGTTTCTTGGTGCCTTGTGCCACTACCGATATTCCTTGGACTTAAGCAGCCAGGACCCAGTCTCTTTATGTCTTTTCATATACAGGCGCTCATAGTCTTCCTCTACTTTATCTTTGGAAAGCCACCTTAGAACCGTGCCTGGGTCGGTTCCTTTGATGAGCATGAGAGTTAGCGACATTTTGACCCAAAAATAATTCTTTATGATACTACCTTGATCTTCGGGAAGACGTAATGCTGGATAGTTCCCACTACTGAACTTGTTTCCTGAACCAATATCTATAGATATTGGACTTTTAGTATTGTCTTCAGATCATATAAACTATCTATCGGGTGTGAGCGATTCTACCTCTTATCTGCGCCCATTCCAGCCATTTCGTTTTATGATATCTGGGGGCTGAGTGTACCATCTCATTGAGACACGAAGAGCTTTGACGAAACGCCTGATCCGTCGAATAGTGATACTTTACTAACTCTTCATGAACACAATTCACCGCGAACACCTCTGTGCCAAGAGCGCCTGGAACCACCGCGGAAGACTGGGGCACAAACTATATCATATCGACTTTGTTAGTCTCCTAAAGATTAAGTGGTAGATGTATAATCAATGTTCTCAATAGCTTGATACAAGCTAGTTTCAACACCAGATATAATATGTCTTCAGTCAATATTCACTCAAGTAAGGGTATCAACTCACAAATTTCCCATCCTCCGTATCCCGATAAGTCTCGTAGAAGAACGTTGTCACGAAGCCTTTGCTAATACTTCTATACTCGGTGAGTTGTCTCTGGATTGCATTGGAGTTTTCCTCCAAATCTCGAAGAGTTGTATTTTTTATGTTGATTTCAGACGCTCTTTTAACCCACTTCTTATTCCATTGCACGTTACCACTTAGATTCCCATCCAGATTAATGACTCCTTGGTGAGATGTGCCGAGGAAGAGAATTCCATAAGTCGAGATTTTGATATCCTTGTGATGTTCCAAGTTATTCTTGTTGGTTGAATTGGAGTATATCAAAGCCTGGATCACTCGTCAGAACCTCCACAGAAACGGTAGTAGTACGTGATGACATCTACCTCTTTGACAAAACGATTCCTCCGGTAGAATGCGCAACAAATATAATAGGTCGCTCCTTGCTCTATTTCTCATTAGAACGCACACTCCACACCACTCAAATACACTCACATTTGTGACACTCCTTTCCTGACACATGTTCGTTATCAAAGCAACCGCATGATCATGTAAAGTCTGGCAGCTTAGTTGGGTAGACCCGTCTGTTCGACTGTCGTAGCCGTATGTCAAAACACGAATATTTGGTATTTCCCCAGGTAGTAAATCTCTAAGCCACAATATACCGTTCTTGGCAGTCCATGTGTGTTCCCGGTGCCCGTTCAATCCATGAATGCAAACAAGACTGTCCACGAAGGGTTAGTACTATTCGCAGTAGCGGAGGTCCTCTCGATATATACTCCACTGTGGGTTCTTTTCCCTCGTATAAAACCTTCAGCCCATATGGCTTCTCATCTGTAGATTGGGAATGATTTGCGGCAGTGGATGACTCGCCGGCTGTAGTCTGTGTTATACTCGTAGCTTTAGCAAAAGTATAGAATTAGGCTTGAAGGCTGAAGCCCAAATAGGAAATATCCAGAGTCTCGGTGATTGAGCGCTGTCAGTCAGGGAGTTGAGTTCTGGATGTACGGAGCTTCAAATCCCCCGAGCCCGGGTATATAGCTGACCGCCGTATAGCAGAGGTAATCTAGTGAGATACTGTCTTCCGAATTCACAACCTTTTCCTGCTTTCACTAAGTTGTGCTTCCTTTGTAGGTGATGATCGATTGACTGATGCGAAGAATTGCGGCAATGAAACTGAAGCTGAGATCAGTCACTGTATGAGGCGCTTTGGCTGTTGGAGTGAGAGAAGGCTGACGGTAATTTTTTATGCAGCTCAGAGCGGAGACTCAGGGTGGTTGCACAATAAGGGATCTTTGTAAACAAACACCTGCCACATATGCTTTCATTTCTTTTGACCACGTATGTTCACTAAACTGCACTTCCCTACACCACTGCTTACAAGGCAGAGTTAGGTCAGCCGTTCAGTATGCGTCTCAGCTATACCTTGTGAGGGAGCGAGGTTCAGGACTTAGATAACTGAAGCTATTTTCACTATGTTCCTCAGTATATATAATCATCCGGAAACCTCTCAGAATACCCCTGCTACAAATATTGTAGCAACACGAAGAATACCAGAACACGGAAGAAAAAGGGTGATTTTTTATGGGTATTGTACTAGCTATAGGTAAATAGGATCATTAGCTTAATTGCTTACGTAGTATTTGCCTTCAGACTTTTTTTGAAAGGTTTTAAAATCTCTCGGTACGTAATCTATTATCGGAGAGGCTGTACTAGGGTTATGGTTGGATGAATATTTCTACTGCCGTGGGATTTAAGATCAAAGCTTGTAATACTTGAGGATGCCCCGAAACAGACTTATTAATATTATGTGTTACCGAAAACTAGCTGTTTCCCCCTCTAATTGAACACTTCATGTCATAGATCATGGCTTCCGGCGATCGTGCATGCAGATTGAGAAGGGTCCTTGAAAAGTTCAATAGCATCACATACCCAATTACCAAAGTAATTTCCCATGTCTCGAAAACGTACTGAACTACGCCAACAGGCTTAGAAGATCACAGGCAGCGTGGTCGCGCGCGATCTTGTTGAAACGCTTAGATCTTGTAATCCGGATTTCAGATTTTCGAGTGATAACCTGTGCTCCAATGCTGGGGGCGGGGGTCCACAAGGGATCAACTCCAGCCCCGGCTCGGGTTCCATATGTGGGTGTTCAAAAGCTTCTCCCGTCCTCACCTAAACCCTTTTCGGTAAAGGAAAGTCACACTCGAGCAGTACATTGTGGCGCGTGGTGTAGCCCTGCCCTCTTCTAGATCTAATAGCCAACCAAGCCACCTAGATCTAGAGTAGATGTACTGATGTCACGTATTTTAGGCTGGCAATACGTGTAGAAAAGTAGAATGACAATCGAAGTCAAGGGTCGTAAAGCTAACTAAATTCCATTCTCGAATCCCAAAGAGGACAGTAATAAAGTCAGAGACGATATTGTCTATTTATAGCTCAATTATTGCACTAACGCCTTGTGTCCCTGCGCCACACTATTTCCCCAGCAAAAAATTAAGAAACCTGTGAGGTACTCTGTGCAGCAAAACCGCATGACATCTAGTTAAGGTTAGGATCCTGGGCACTGCAATTTTATCCCCGGTCTCTCGGATAAGCTTCATTAATTCGGTAACCGATATATATATATCTTGGCGGATGACTTCCCTAGACTCATAGGAGAGGGTTTGAAGCACCCGATCCCCCATCACCACTACCATCAGTCATAGACGAACAGGTCCCATCGCTTACTACGCATTCGCATCCACCCTATCCCTTATGATGCTAAAGCTGCCAACTTTGCCAAGTATCATATCTCAACTGTGTGGCTTTCGTGCGAGGCTCACCTGATGTTACCATGTCCCATGTTGGCAGCATTTAAGTAGCAGCTTAAGGGATAGAGGAGGAGGATTACATGTAAGACTTAGACGGACACAAGAAGTGACCAACATGACATCACTGAATTATCCAGATATCGCAATAATCGCTTCCCTTCTGGTCTATGATTACGTTGTCAGAGCTCATCCAATACTTGAACAGTTGAGACACTTATTAGGTAATAAATATTTATTAAGAGTCAATGGATTATATGTAATTGCCTTTCTTTTTTTAGCAAGGACGGGGGACAGGGCGGGGTTGTTGGGCTTCGGGCCGGTTTCGAATATATAGGGAGGAAGCAGCTGTCGCTCTTATTGGCTGGTTGTGCGTGGGCGAGTTGCATAGCAACGCATGCTCTTCCGATCACTCGGAAAAGCGACTTTGAGATCATAGGCGATTCGAACCACCAACTCAGTGTTAGAAATAGGAAATTTGAAGATGGGCTCTCATCTAGATCTACGCAATTGGAGGGAAACCTAGATAGGCTGAGAGAATTACGAAACTTATTGAACGCGGAATACCACATGAAGAAACCTAGAGTTCGTCTTCTGGACACTGATCCTCCAAACTGATTCTCACTCGTGCAATACTTGTATCTACCTACATGCATAGCAGTGACCTTCATGACACCATCAGCATATCTCTAAGTTTCCGGCTGAACATTCTCCCCATGCCCCACTCCGGCGAGTCATCATGGAGCCTGTAATTAAACCCAACTACAACCCCAAACCTCCAGCTAGCTAGCTTAAGGCTTGTGTAGTAAGCACTACCTACATGTACTTTACCTACATGTATGTAAATACGAACTGGCGCGGCTGAACTCAAAGTGATGCATGCCATTATACGTGTAGAGCAGGTACTCTAGGTACATGTTCCCTGGGATGAGACGGATGGAATGCTGACTCTTGCGTGTGGGGGCGGGAGTGCTAGTCTGCTAGTTTGAGAAGGTACTCTCCAGGTGCGGGCTTGGCGGGTTGCGCCTCAGTTGGTTGCGCCTCAACTATACGCATTCACGGCATCACGGAAATTCAAGGACAGTGTTGAAATAATTAATCACCTACAGGTATGTTACCACTAGGTATTCCGCCTCGAGAGTAAGCACAATACTCGTCTCGGTGACAAGACTCAGCGCACCGCCACATGCGATATAAACAGCATCAACGGCCAAGGCTGCGGGGGGCGGGTGGCTGCGGCACTCTACATACATAGTCTCGCGGGGGAACCCTGCCTCCTCCTCCTCCTCGGCTATTCTTCTTTGCTGGGAAGGTGCATGGGCTCTATTCTTAACCTAAATGTGTGGTGTGGCCTGGGGCTTGGCAGGGAGAGCGCATAACATCACTGGTGGCCAATGATTCAAGAGTGGGATTTCGCATGGTTCGAGTTTTCTCCGTGTCAACCACTCAACGCGACCTGGAGGTAGATATTGATCTGATTGGTTAATTCAACAACGAAATGCAGCGATCTGGAGGGAGATCAGGATGGAAGCACAGTTACTGAACGATATCAATCGCGTGGTATGTACTCACAATTGCCGATTAGTTAGGCTTCAAGGGTTAGGTATGTATGTATGGAGCTTGGTAAGGGTAGCTAGTAGTATTAAGACATTCAACTGTCACTGCACTCACTGCACATGGCACGCTGTATCCACTAGCTCTACACTCTGAAGCTTAAAGTACATTCCAACTAACAGCATCTCCCAGAAGTACCTTCATCGTGAGGCTGGAAATAACCCTACCCGGGCAGTGCCTCCCTCCCCCGCCCAATCCCTGTCCTGCACTTCCATGGCTCTAGGATATATGCAAGACGCACCAATCCCCGCCCGAGGCCTGAGACACCCAGTAACGGCCCCATCCAGTCGGGAGATGGGATCTAGCTTCTTACTTGCAGGGCCGGCCCTTGACAGCAGATACCTACTCCCACCAAGACCTCTGCGCCGCAGACAGGAATATTCCACTGCCGGCACAGTAAGACTGGGTATGCATGCTGCCCGTTGCTGGCTGAGCCATAGGGCTGAAGGCTACCTCGAGATCGATCCATGCCATCTCGAGATGTATCGAATCTTTGCAAGTCACAGAGACGATAAATACTCTCTGGGCCCGCCCATTGAACGGCCACCTCTCACCTCACCACCTCACCATCCATCCACAGTAGCACAGCACAGCATAGCACCGTATGATGCGATTCCTTCCTCTCCTCTTCACGGCGCTCGCAGGAGCATCAGCTGTGCCGAAATGGGACTTTGGTAACCCCATCGCCGCACAGTCAGACGTGTACAGCGCTCCCGTCGAAAGCTTTGCAAACATCACCGCGCTCAACATCACGCTGCCGGTGGACCACAACGGCTCGACGACAGACACGTTCGAGAACAGGTACTGGGTCGATGACAGATTTTGGAGGCCTGGCGGGCCGATAATGCGTATGTCTTTCTCCCGCTCCCTCTACCCTGCCTGCTGCCATACTGGCAAACCGTATATATAGCATAGCTTGTACTGACTGACCCCCCCCGCCTCCAGTATTCGACGTCGGAGAAGCAGCCGCCGACGACACCGTCGCGGCCCTCGGCCTCACGCACCAGCCCGCGCACGCCCGCGCCAACAACGCCCTCATCATCGTGTGGGAGCACCGCTACTACGGGCAGTCGTGGCCGTCGCGCCTCCCCGAGACCTACAGCCCCGACGACGTCGCCGCCTACTTCCGCTTCCTCACCGTCGAGCAGGCGCTCGAGGACGTGGCCGTCTTTGCGCGCACCTTCAAGTGGAAGGACGCCGCCACCTCGCCCGGCCAGGTCCCGTGGGTCTTTGTCGGCGGCAGCTACCCCGGCGCGCGCGCGGCGTGGGCGCGGAAGCGGAACCCGGACATCTGGTACGCCTCGCTGGCCAGCAGCGCCGTCGTCGAGGCGGCGACGCAGAACCCGTGGTACTACGAGGTGCAGCTCCAGGCGCTGCGGGAGAACGGGTACAGGCCGTGTGCGGACGACATGGTGGCCATGGCCAAGTATATCGATGCCGCCAACAACACGCAGATCATTGACTGGGTCTACATGGTCAGAAACACGAGCGATGCGGTGGCAGGGGCGGCCGGCGGCGCTCTCGACTCGCTGGGCACGGCGGAGAACGCGCACGAGCTGCTGGGCGAGATGGTCACGACGGTGCTCGTCGGGGCCCTCCTCGAGTACCAGAGCGTGGCCTTCCAGACGACCCCGTACTCGCGCGGCGATCTTGGGTACTTCTGCGGGCTCATGGGCGAGGCCAGCGGCAACTCCACACGGGGCGTCTTCGGGACCATGGCCGAGGAGAGCGCGGTCGCCGTGTTTGCAGAGGCCGCCGGGAAGAACCTCGACCGCATCCTGCGCCTGAACAACGGCCAGATCTCGAAGCGTGACCTGCTGGGCCCGCCCCATATTGCTGACCGCCAGATCCTGCACAGGCGTGGAGCAGCAGAGAGCGGGCAGCAGCTGAGTGCGCGCCAGCAGCAGCAGCAGCAGGGCGAGACGTTTGACCCCTGCGCCGCAGACGCGGAGACATGCCGGCCGTGGCTGCAGACAATGACCAACAGCTGGACATACCAGGTGTGCACCGACTTTGCAAACCTGCTCACCGTGCCGCCGACGGGCGACTCGCTCTACCCGCGCAAGTTCAACAGCTACGAGTACATGCGCCAGTGGTGGTGCGTCGACAGCTTCAACATCACGGCCACGCCCGGCCGCGACCTCAACAGGAAGTACGGCGGGTGGAGCATGGCCAGCAGCAACACCCTCTTTGTCGACGGCGAGTTCGACCCCTGGCGCGCGGGCACCGTCAACAGCCAGATCCCCGAGGCCAAGGGCCGCCCGAGGACCGAGGTGGTCCCCGCGGCGGGCCAGGTCATGACCGACACGGTCTTTGGCATGGTCGTCGAGGGCGGCGCGCACTGCCCTGATCTCGGCATTGGCTGGAACCTGAGCGGGCGTCCGGCGTTCGAGCTGTGGAATAAGGCGCTGGCTACGTGGTTGCCCAAGTTCGAGAACCACACCGTGAGCAACACGACGGCGGGCACGGGGCCGGGGGTTAGCAGCGGCAGTAGCCGGGCGGCCTCGGGGGCGGGCAATGAGGAGCAGAACGGTGTTGCGGGGAGGACGGCGGGAGTGGTGTTTGCGGCGGTGATGGCGGTGGCGGCGATTGTTGTGGTTTAGGTTTGGAATATGTGGGATGACTGGTGTGATGTGTGTGCTTTGGATATGTTTCTATCACGGCTGTATGGCATATATTATGGGCGGTGCATGGGCGGGTTGGGCGACGGCGTTTGTCTTTACTTGGAGGTTTCCCTTGTTATTTTCGTTTGTTCATTATATATACCATGAATAGAGATTTCGATACCTCGCATGACTGGCCCGCTGTAATTCTCGATACTGGTATATTCCTAATGGCGAAGGTTTATTTAGTACCTGCCATGGCCAGTAGAAAAAGTCATAGAAGACAAAGACCGAGCAAGGGAAAGAGACAGGGTGAAGTCCGACGCGCAACATACCCAACAGTAACAGTAACAGTTCAGTGATGGGCACGGGACTTGAGGTCTCGAGACTAGGTCTCTGTGAGCTCTCCAAACGAGACAAGACAAGAGCAATGATAGTAGTCTCGCCACTATCTCGGGGCTGTTATGGGTTGGTCTCGAGACGTCCCGCGAGACTATTTTGGACCTTTCGGAAAGGTTTTGGAGGCATTATACCCTTTACAAAAATAGTTCTCCTACAAGATTATAATTAGCATATATAGTTGGAGCAATATCGGAAAACATGGCTTAGATGTTTGAGTATTTTCAACTATTTCCTACCTTTGGGATTTTTCCCAAAGTCTCGAGACGTCTCGAAGCTTTGTAGAATGTCCCGAGACAAGACAAGACCTACTACGAGACAAAACCACCCCGAAAATATGGTCTCGGCTTGTCTCGTGCCCATCACTAATCCAACTGTTGGTTCTACAGTCTTTGCCATCTGTCTTTTGTACTGTATCAAGACAACAAGTTTGGTTGTCTTGAGGATACGTGTCTATCACGGCTTTGTTTGCCATAAAAGCAGCCTGTTCCTTCTTGTCTCTTTTGATAATTAATTCAATCTTCCGTCTCTTTGGATAACTAATTCAATCTTCCGTCTCTTGTAAATTCGCGACCTTGTCAATACCAACAACCTCACAATGTCAACGGTCCCATGTGTCAAACGTCGATGTCGGTTTATCCTGCATCGCCTATCCGGGTACCAGTCGCTATTTTCTCTTTGTTCTCCATTGTGCTCCTCCTGTAGTAGCTCGGTAGAGCAGATTCGCAGACAGGGCTGTTTCTCTCGAGAACCTACATCTTAGTAACATAAACAGCGGGAAACAGCCTTGTAAATTAAACTTGCAGCGCCACAAGCAAGGCATAACTATCTCGTATATCAACCTGGCGGTAGAGAACCAACTACATAATTGAGGATGATGCGTGTAGCCAGATGAAGAGGAATCAACCAGGTGGTATCGACGGGTGTGTAGAGCAATGAAGGAACCTCTCGTCCACCGACTCCTTAATTAGTATATTTTTCTTTTCCCACGCGGAGACCCGACCGCACAACAGCCATAAATGCCCAGCCCGACATGCAGCGAAGCTTAATCTCAACCACACACACCACAAGACACACCACAAGACACACCAAAAGACACACCAGTGACGAGTCGAGAGCTGAACGCACACCTGGACAGCATTGCTCTTCCTGGACGAGGCCTCCATGGTCGCACCAGACGCTGCATGCAAGCCACAGAATGGAGACTTCATCAATTGTGGGGAAACCACCAATCGTCGTCTCTGTAAATTAAAGTACCGTTAATTCTCGAAGAATCCACTATCCCCGTATTTGTATGTGGTAAGTCCGGGCCAAGGCGAATTGGCGTATCAAACTTCACGGATTCGTGCACATGCACACACACTTTTTCTCACCGGGAATCAAGATTTAACGAAGCGGAGACAGTGGATTCCTCGAGAATGAACGGTACCTATGCGTGCATATGATAGTTGCTGGTAGAGACGTAGAGTGCCCCCCATTCCTGCCATATTCGAACTGCAGTCACTCACACTCACTCGCCCGGGCGAGTGAGTGCTGGCTGGTGAGGCTCCGCGCTAGTACAAACTCGGCCTAATTATTTGTCACTTCCAATCACTAACTCTGGCCAAGATCGGCGGTCGCGACGTTACACAGGAGTTTTAGAATTCTGAGCGCTCAGGAATCCCTTGCGATATTCGCTTTTTTTCGTGGTGGTACAAGGTTTTGGGCCAATGGGGGAGGGCGCATATGAGCTTTTCGGAAAAAATGTCCAGGAAGACAAGACCGTCTTCAGCCTTGGGGAGATCCAGGCCCAGTACATGTAGGTATGGTATGGTTGGGGACGTACGGGCTTTTGGCGTTGACGTAATATAACTCTATTAGAGAAGAGTAGCTGGTTTACGTCTTGGCGGAATGTCACCTGTGCATACATGTACATACAATATACACGGTGTTCCGGGTTTCTGAGGGGTGTATATATGGTCTGGCGTTATATTGTGTAGTTATCGTATGTTCGAGAGAGAGGGCATGTTGTTATTGCGGATATATTGTCAATATTAGCTTAAAGATGAGCGAGAGAATATTTCTGTCTTGGCCAACGGCATTGTCATGATCCCTCAAGAAGCAGTATCTACACCCTTAGCTAGCTAGCTTCCCGAAGATGATACACAGGTGAGCACTCTTGTTCCCCGTCTCGCGGGTGGGGGGGAGCAGCATTCAGTTCACACCAGTACCGCTGTACTAGTATCTTCCTAACGTCTTTGAACTGGGCCATTATTGCATACACCCAAAATCATGAGCTTGGCGTATTCTTGTAAGGCACGCAATATCAGTCGCGTCCACAAACGTCGGGAAAATACGAGTAGGTACTGTGAATCATGAATCCTTGGCTGCATGAGCCAGCACTCGAACGAACAGCATTGGCAGTCTTGGCACGCGGTGCTGCCCGTCGCACATATGCAGAGTACCTAGCCTGTGCGACCAGCTTGCCAGGCTGTACCACCACGGTCGTAGGCTTAGAGTTCACAGGGGTCGCTCTCTCGCTTAATTATGCTTAATCCACACCCTGTCAGACGCCATTTTCCAGGGCTGGCAGCTAACTGGAGGCACATGTACAGTGGCTATAAGAAACCCTAAGTTGGCTTTGCACTTTATGACAAGCCTGAAATGCCTTCTCTAGAGTTTATCATATGTGGGTGCATCTTGGCGCATTTTTGTATGGGCAAATAATGAAAGTTGAAGCCGACTAGGTATAGCTAAAAGCCTCTATTGTCCCGGATGTTGCCATACGACACGTGAAGCGCAAAAAAACATGTCGAGCACTCCGGAGTGGTAATGCACGCGCAGTGTAGTCGGCGGGCGAGAGGGGTGTGGATTTGGTTTTTTTGTTAGAATAGGTGCGTGGTAATATCTTATGTGTAGCATGTACAATATGTGTTTATATCTGAATTTAGATATTTGGAGTGGTGGCATGGCGGGAGTCATACGTATAACTACATATGTACTTGGCTCGCGAAGAGATCAACCAAGCTAGTTACCCTATATATACCCCCTCTATTGAAAGGCCACCGTGGGGTCACGAATTATCCTTAGATTACCTCTTAATAACGTTTTTAATTTACTCACCTATTCGATTGTATCCACCTCGTTGTCGAGATTCGTCGCGTAGGCTCTACACGGGGATGAACTCGGAAGGAAAAGGTATTATGTGGATATCGAGGAAATAAAGGGGTATATATGCGGCAGTCGTAATAAATGTCGAGAAGATCGATTTTCAGTAGAACTACGTAGACACCAGGCTATAATAGCACATGCAAGTTTTAGATAGAGGGTGATTAAGGGTTGTGTATGGCCAGATCGGTCGACCGTTGTGTGGTATACGTTTCAATTCATACATACATGTATGCGACAAATGTCTGTGAATACACATAGGGAACACCGTGATATCCGCAGACTTCAGGAGAAGAAATTATTTGATCAGTAATCAAGCAGTTAAGAATGCAGTCACAAGATATCACCCGTGTTTTAGCCCAGATTGGCCTTATCCTAAAATCACAAAAGGGGATGTATTTTTGGTGCTTATGTCTACAACTGTCCATTGTTTGACGTCGGTACTGTAACTACACCAGATTGTCTACACTTAAAGCGGGGGATATTACTTCACTCCATGTATATATTCCTAAAAAGCGTATCAAATAACGTACTCATATCAATCCTAGAAAGCGAAATTAAGCTTTAGTGCTATCCAAGGTTGGTGAAAGTACTATTATATCTCAATCATAACTATAATTCATGACACGTTACACTGTTCATACATACATACTTATAAGAAAATCCCCACCACGGCGCTAACAAAAAAAACTTTAGCCCAACTTCCCTCCAGCGTAAGCGCTCCACTCTCCTCTAATAGACGCGCAACAGAACCTTGACCACTACCACCCCCACTTGAATCAAGCCCGTAGTTGGACAAATCACAATAGGCCGGTCCACTCGAGCTTTCGCCATCACCGATCATGTCGGCCATATCTGAGCGGTGACACTGATTATAACGATAGTCGTACTCGGTCATAGCCGGGTCCCGTCTGTAGGCAACATTTATTTAGTCCTTTTTACTCTTCGCATTTTTTATTCCGGCAGTGCAAGACCCCGGGGGGGGCGGGGGGCTACAGCACATACTTCGTAACATCCGCTACAGTACTGTGAGCACAGAGAAGAAGTAGGCCCAGGGCGGGGATGACCGAGATGCGCATGGTTGTTACTGTGTGGTGGAATGGCTATGTGCTAGATTTTCCAGCTAAAGTATATCCGTGGGCAGCTTGGAGGGTTTTTATACGCCCCTCCCCCGCCTAGCGAGCTTCCTACACGGTATCAAGTTTGATTCGATCCACACATAAATATTTGGGCCGCAGAATTAGCTGCCAATTAGTTAATTCCTACGTGGTCATGTTGGTCCTGGCACTTTGTTGGTAATGAACTCGGATACCTATCGTTTTGGAGTAGCTGGCTTTTACTAGAGCGGGGTAATTGTATTAGAGGTGCTCATATGCCAGACTGCTGCGTCACACTAGTTCAAGGTGGCGTTTCTGCTGCCTAGTTACGTACATACATGTACTTGCTTTCTTCTT